CATTGCATTTGTTAGTTTAATGAAAGACCAGACCTCGTTTTTAATAAAATAGGGCTGGGTCTGTTTTAAAACACAGAAGCGGTCGCTTCTTCGCATCGCATCGCTTTCCCGCTTCTCGCTTTTTAGTGGGAAGCGGTCGCTTTTCTACACCTCAGTCGCTTCAGCAGGGTGAAGCGTGCAGCTTCTCGCTTCGCTTCGCTTCTCGCTTAAAGCGAGGAAGCGGGCGCTTTTTTAAACACTGGTCTATCTAAAGTTGTTTGAGTGGTTTTGAAAATGTTACTCCTTATCCAATGAGGCAGAATAAATCAATACTTGTGTATACGGTCGAAATCGGACTCGCCTACGACATGGTAGGTCAGGTTCAGAACATGGCAATAAAGGACTGAAGATCGATCCCAAGTCCCACCGGGCTAGAACCCGGGGTTGGAACGCCCGCCTTCGAGAAAATCGAGGCCGTGATCCCGCAATTGATTGTTAGCATAATAGAAGACTGAAATATCCGTGATCGGTCAGTTATTGCAGCGGGAATCTCGGCACGTATCAATGAGGAACTGGCAATCGGCAAATCAAGAGATTTTTTTACATTTTATAGAATTGTACCTAAAGTAGGACTTCTCTACTATATAAAGCAGTGTTTTAAAAAGCGACAAAGCGATCGCTTTAAGCGATACGAAGCGATGACTGCTCGCTTTTCCATGCCTGAGGCGACTCAACCACACGAAGCGCTCGCTTCAGTCGAAGAAGCGCGAAGCGACCTTGAAGCGAGAAGCGCAGAATCGCTCGCTTCTATTCAGAGGGGTCAGTTTTTATAAAAAAAAGTTTGGGTCTGTTTTTTTATTATACAAAACAGACCCCTAAGACCAAAGTGAACCATTTCTCTCTTCTTCTCAAAATCAATTGTTGGTGAGTGCTGCTAGGGTTCAAGTCGCCAAAGACCTCCAGGTAATTTTTCTTCTTTTTTTCTTCTTTCTTCTTCTCCTTTTTTTCTTTCTTCTTTCTTCTTCTTGTTCCCGTCCAGGCATCTGCTCACAGCTAGGGCATGCGCGATTTGTTTTTCCTTTTTATTCTTCTTATTTAGTATTTTAGCCTTTATTTATGGAGTAATTTGTATGTGTATTTCAGTTTATAAAGTTAATTATATATATAATGTAAACCTTGCAAAGACACAATATAAATAATCAAAAAGTTCAATTTAAAAACTTAAAAGTAAGTACCACAAAATCCTCTATATATATATATATATATATATGAGTAATTTGTATGTGTATTTCAGTTTATAAAGTTAATTATATATATAATGTAAACCTTGCAAANACTTTGCAAGGTTTACATTATATTTTTTAAGAATTGCGCTTTGCTTTTGAAGCGAGACGAGCCCCAGTCGCTTTTTGCGCTTCTCGCTCTCAAAATCACTGATATAAAGGGGGGTGATGATTCATTTAGCACATTGTAACACACATTCCAAGGCAATACATTATTATTTTCTCTTTAAGCTCGTGTTCTTCTGTATCGTGATATTGATCAAAGTGCATCTGGCTCGAGGGTGGCTAACCTTCCGAGATTGAAACTGTCCAATTCGTGTGGTTTGAATTTACTTTATCATTGTTTATTTCAATTGCAACTTAATTTATCACCTTGTATCAAGTTAATCCGCGTATCCTTAAAACCACTTACAAATTCAATTGTTATCCGATTTTGAGGGTAAACAACTTGAAACACTTAAATGGTGGGATGGGAGAATTTAACAATCTAGTTACTCAATCAGAAGCAGGAAGTAAACCAGGATAGCATAGGACTTTTTAATTCTACACGAGGCCATGGTTATCAAACAGTTCCTAAGAGCATGTTTGATAGATGCTTCTTGTTTTTATTTCAAAGGAAAAGAAAAAAAAGAAGGCATCTTTGGTTCTTCTTATGTGGTTATCATAAGGAACATCCTTCTGATCATATTCCTCAAGAAAAATAAAGTAAAATCATAACACCAACTATAATACACTGTTAATAAATTCCACAAACCCACAACAAAAATGCTAAAAGTGGACCCAGTAACAAATCCACGAAATAGCTAATTTAGTAAAATCTTCCCAGAAACTGCACACCAGCTAGCAATTTTTACAGAACATCACTACTTTTGAAGGAGACGTGTTATTAAATTTTACATGCACGAGTTATACAATACACGCATTCATTCCCATCAAAACAACTTCTCCTACTCAACAAATACTAAATATCTCATGTTTCAGCATTGCTATTGTCAATATTCATGTAAGTCAAAAAGCAACTGCCGACTAGCGAGGGAACAGTTGTGAGAGCAACTCTAGGAATTAATTTTTTTTTTTTTTAAAAGCCAGTTATATCCCAGAAGTTAGCTTGAAATCAATGGCTAAGATTGAAGCTGGCCTAGCAAACCAATTCCACCAAAATTTTCCATGTAGATGAACTTGAAATGTTTCTACAGAACCTAAATGTCTTAATTGACAAATTACTGAGTATTGAAACAAAACGAAATCAAACAAAGCAATATAGATGATTCGTATAACGGACCCCGACTAATTTAGGACTAAAGGATAGTTGATTGATTGGAAAGTACCTGAAATGTGAGACTGAACGGGTTCTTAAACCCACGTTTAGGCAAACGGCGACGAAGCGGGGTCTGTCCACCTTCAAAACCAAACTTATGGGTCCCTCTAGCCTTCTGACCCTTATGTCCTCGACCCGCTGTCTTCCCTTTACCCGACCCGATACCTCTTCCTTTCCGGGTCTTCTGCTTCCTAGCACCCTTGTTATCCTGCAAATCATTTAAGCTCAGAAGACTGTAGGCTCTCCTCATACCCTGATAATGCTGAAATCGCCGCCCCAATGATCCATTTGGAGCAATGCTGGAGATGGGGTGTTGAGAAAATTCTAAAGATTGAATCTTTTGGGAAGATGTGAATATGGTTTGGGAAATCTTGATCGGTTTGTTGTAGATTTGACCATTTTGGAGTGAAGTTGATAATATCGAAGTTATTCTCCTTCTCAACATTTCTTCTACTTCTGGAGTTTATGTGTGAGCATAGATAGTAGTGAAAGTTTTGGACTTTGCTTGAAAGCTTGAGTTTTGATGTGTAGGGTTTTAATGGGGGTCAAATTGCTGTTTTTGTTTTTGGTTGAACTGGCTATTGTGAGGGTTTAGGGAAGATGGGAAGTTTAAACGACATCGTATTGCTTCCTAGCAAGTAGCAGTGTATTTTCTAGGGCACTTTCTCTTCTTTTCCCCTTTTTGTAAACTCACGATTTAAAAAAAAACAATTGCCTTTTTTTATTAATTACACACACCTAAGAATTTCCACAAATATGAAAAAAGAAAATAAAGGAGAATTTTTTATTGGCGTAATTTTGGTGAGAGTACTGTATACACTAAGTTTTAGAAATTGTTTTTGAAAAGATTATGTTATACTAAACGATTATCTAAATGTGATGGGTTAAGATATTTTGTTTGTCAATAATGACTAGGGTGTAGACATCCTTCATTGGTTTGAGACTTGTTTACCCTCAAAAACGGATAACAATTGAATTTATACGCAGTTTTAAGGATACGTGATATAACTTTGCATAAATTAAGAAGACAGATTAATATTGAAATTGACAATAGAAGAATAAAAGCAAACCACACGTATCGAATTGCCTTGACCCTCGAGTTTGACCACCTTCCAACCAAAGATGTTTCAACTAAAGTATGAACATGCTAATAGAGTAACAAGATAATAAAAACTAGAAAGTGTCAGTATATTGCTTTGTGTTGCGTTGATATGATGTGTTTTACAAATGGTCTGACCCCCTTTATATAGTAGGGGTGTCCTACTTTTAGTACAATTCTATATAAGGTAAAAATCCTATGATTTGCTAATTATTCGGCCCCTCTTTGATACGCGCAGAGATTTTTGCCACGATTTACAGCCGATCGCGTATACTTCGTCTTTCTGTTATCCACCTTGGCAAATTTCCCTTGATCTCGCCTGGTCCCGGGGTCGGACCTCACCTTGGTTCGATATAATTCGCGGTCGAACCCTAATCGATCATATTTCAGTCTCGATTGGTCACATAAGGGGCGAGCTCAGTTTTGACCGTATACAGATAGTCCCCTCGTTCTCGAAGAGAAGATGACGAGAAACGATATGAACTTCTGAATCCCGTCTCGATGGGTCATGATGTAAGTGACGAACCCGACTATGACATAGGCGACAAATGGATATCAAAACTCGTCGGTCCAGTTATCAAGGTATTAAATGCCCGTCAGTCGTTGGTCGGCTACAACCGGTTCTGAACCGTCACCAGCAAGCTATAAGTACCCTAGCTTTTCCTCTTTCAAACTTTACGTTCAAAGCCCCTCTTATTCTTGTTTTTTCTTCAGAAATCCCTTTGCTTTGTAACTCTTGCACCCAAATTCGTTAAACTTTCATCAAACCGCATACCATCTTAATTCTCTATTCTTCTGTTCTTCAATGGCGAAAACTTCTAAGATTGTACTGCAAAAGAAAGTCGCTTCTTCATCACGACCCGCCGATGGCAGGGCTGCGGTGGAACCTCACCCTGAGGAATTCATTCTGGCAGAGTGCCCTATTATTGTCGATTTTAAGGTTAAAAAGACCTCCTCTGTACCAGGCCGATGTGAGCTGGTCTCGAGATACATATGCACAATCATTGATGGTCTCCTCACCAAGGTTAAAGAGGAATGCAACTTGGTCAATAAGCATGTGGTGGTTCCTTTTCCCGAGGAATCGATCACTACCCATGTGGAGGGTTTTCTCAGTGTTTACACTTGTCCCTTCAAGTTGGGTCCCTTAGACCCTATCATCACTGCCTTTTGTAAGAGGTATGACGTGACTCTTGGCCAGATCTACCCCTCATTTTGGAGAATAGTGATTCTCTTCCGATTTCCCGTAAGCAAAATCGAGGGATGTCCCTTTACCCTCGACCACCTTATGCGCCTTTACAGTCTCCAACTCTATCGAGGGGGGATGATCAAGCTTGCTCGCCGGGCCAGTAAGACTCCGTTCTTGAGCATAGACGAAGCTTGGGACCGAGGTTGGATGGGCCGATTTGTTTGAGTAAAGACGTCAGACCTGATCCCTGCTGAAGATATGCCATTTCCCGAGAAATGGAATATGAAACGTAAGTAGTGCTTCGCTTTGAATGTTCAACCTTGTTGTTTTCCCTCTTATCTCTTTCTTCATTGATGTTTTTGGTGTCACAGTAGTGGCCCAGATGTCGGACGCAGTTCCTGAACTTAAGGAATGGGTCAAGGGCCTTGTGTCACAGAGGTCGTATTTCGAGCGGGCTTGGATGGAATTATCGAAGGGTCGATGGGAGGCCTGCAATCACGGTAGGTTCCTTTTCCTAAGGTAATAATGTTTGATTTCCACCCTTCGCTGTTGAATCTTTATCTATTTTCTCTTGTAGGTCTCCCCAAGGAAGTTGCTATGAAGCCTTCAGTCGGTGATGAGGAGGTACCTCTCAAGTCTCCTGCTCCGAAGCAGGGTGATGAAAAGAAAAGGAAAAGGGTCTCGAGTTCCCCGAACTCGGAAAAGAAGAAACCGAAGAAGAGGTCGCGCAAGCCCAAGGGAAGCACCGACGCTCTATCCCCGGACTCAATCCGATGATTAAGGGACGAGTCCGAAGAAGAAGAAGAAAAAGAAGAGAAATCCCAGTTGGTGGCTCGTGTGTAGGCAGGTGTTGTGATGCAAGGGTCCTTTGAATCGGCGGATGCCGAAATCAGACCGTCCCAACATGAGGAGGTCGATGAGGGAGTCTTAGTTGAAGCTCCCGAACCAGAAGAGGTTGAGGCCACTCCACCCCCAGCTAAGAGGGTCGAGAGAGAGACTGGGGGCGACGCTTCTCGAGCATAGGAAGGTATCCTGAGAGACGAGCTTGGGTCGATCGACATTACCGGGTCCCCTCAGATTTCAGACGCCATGATTCGCGAGGCCGGTATGTTAGAAAGAAGTTCTTACGAGGGGCCTCAAGGGGCGACTGATATCCACCACTTCTTGGATGGATTTGAGTCCACTGCCTTCAAGGATGTCACTGGGCTCGGAGATTTGTCGGTTTCAAAGAAGGTACCATCGCCGGGAGTCAGTGGGTCTTCCTCGAGCCCAAAATTGGTGAATCAGTTCCCAGCCCCGAGCGTCGATACTGACCGAAGATGGTCAATAGATTTCTCTATACCGGAGGATGCCTGAGTTTTCTCTGCCACGTGGGGGTTGCTAGCTACCTTCAGTGCTTGGTGGCCGAAGAAGATCAGGCAGTGATGGACAAGGTGGAAACCCCCCTGCCTATTCAATGAAGCCCGACAAGCATTAAATCGGGTAACTTTGTGTATCTTTCTTCTCATATATTCTAAATGTAAAGTTGTAAACAACCATAATACCTTCCTTTATGCTTGCAGGCTTCAGTGCTGCATTATGAGACTTTCCTCTAATACCGTGAGGAATTAACTCACCATGAGGTCGAGGTTCGGGACCTCACTGAGAAGAGTGACACCTACAAGCTTCTCAGCGAGACGCTTCAGGCTAATTTAGTAACGGCTCGGATTAAGGATGCCGAGATGGACGAGCAGGTATTTCGAGTGCTTCACGATAGTGAAGTCGAATTAAAGATAGTGACTAATGATCTGATCCTGTAGGTCCGGCAAAGGCTTGAATAGATCGGGGAGCTTCAGGCACAGATAGATACAATTCAAGTTGAGGCTGAGGAGTTCAAGAAAAATATGGACATCTTAGTCTCGAAAAGGGAAGCTGCCCAAGCACAACTGGAGTCGGCCAAGACCCAGCTCCGAGTTGCAAAAGAGAAGGCCTCGGTGCAGGTCAAGAAAATCGAGGAGCTTCAATCCCAATTGGACTTGGCTATTTCTGATAAGGCAAACTTGGCCAATGAACTCGAGGCGGCCAAATTTGAGGTGGTTGTGTCCAATACCAAAGCTGATACTAAAGTGTCCCAATTCAAGGTCGACGTTGAGGCCATCCAGGTTCAGGCCAAGAGCATGGTGGATCATGCAAGGTTTCAAGCTCGAAGGGAAGCCCTCGAGGGAGTCCATGCTCAGGACTTCAATATACTAGCTGAAATCAAGAACGCCAAAGTAGAAGAAACCAGGGCCCGGAAGCTAGCCTTTCCTGAGGAAGATTTTGAGAGTTTAAGCGAGTCTGAAGGCGAGGAAGATCTCGAGGGCGGAGATGCTGCCTCCGATAAAAACCAGGCCACTTAGGCCTTTATATTTTTTGCTTTCTTTTGCATCTTTTTAGGTCGTTTCGGCCATTGTAAAATTTTAAATTAAGCCATTATGGCCTCTGTAAAAAGATTATTGGGTAAATATATACAAGGCTTTCTTTTCCCTTTGGGCTTTCAAGTTTTTCCTCTGCTTTATTACTTGTATTCACAAAGGTCGGAATGCCTTGGCATAAAATAGCTTAGGTTGTGCAAGTTCGAACAAACCATGCCTTTACATTATTTTTATTTTTGAGTCATCTTGGAGGTTCGGTGTTACCGGGAACCTTCTCCCAAAGTAAGTAACTCAGATTATAGTTTGTCGAGGGTAACCTTTAAAACCGATAATGAAAAATTCGAAGGCCTATTTTATGACGTCTCCGAGCCGTGTTAATATGGTTGTAGCCTTTTAATTCGGGTATAGCCCAGTGAGCTTGCTTTCCTGAGTTATCTAGGCTTGCCTAAGATAACAGTCCCCGAGTGGGTATGTCCGTGGCCTTTAAAATTTGGGGGTTGCCTTAGAGGTCTTATGCCCCCGATGTTTAATAGTTCGATCTGTTCGAGTTTATTTTTCGGACGGCAGTCCCCGAATGAGGGAGTGATCATCCGAACTCTGGTTATAATCAGCCCTTGAGCTCGTTTCCTTAAGATATCGAAAGTAAGAAATTGTAAAGAGAAGATTTTTCTAAGACATAAGATAATTACAAGGAAAGTACTTCTATTTACTCTTGTGAAAAATAGTTATACATGCGTACATGTTTTATGCCAGGGCTCGAGCAACCTATGTAGGCACGATTCGTTTGACCGTTTGGCCCTTACAACGAATCTTGCCTATCGAGACCCTTCTATTACGAAGTAATTTCCTCGCAAAAGTCGATATCCAAGGGTAATGCCCCCCAGTATTTGTTGATTATAGAGGAACCTCGGATATTGTTAGTGATATCTTCGACATCGATTCGTGATCGGCCT